CAAGCTAGCCCAATAGAGTCCACCATCCATAACGGATTGGGTTAAAAGGGCTGCAGGGCACCATTTTATATTCATGAATTTCATATTTATCTACAAAAATATTATTACCTTTATTTTAAAATAGGTTTTGATTCATTTTTCATAATTTATTTTAATTTTAAAAAATTTTAATCTAAAATATTTGTTAAAAAAATTGAGAAGAATGAGTGCAACTTAAATCATACATTAATTAGTTTTAGATTTAATTTTCCAGAACTTCCTAAATTAATCTCATGGGAATAATAAAATTTTATTCCAAATTCCATAATATAAAACTTAAAAAAATTATATATTTCTGAATTCATTCATTTCAATTTTTTTAGATTTTTCAATCCTAAATATTTTAAAATTAATAAAATATTATTTATTTTTCAAATAAATATGAGAGTTCAGAGAGAAGAGAAAGTATGAATGTGTCCAGATTTTATTCCATCTTTTTATTTGATGTCCAAGTACCTATGACGGTTCACCTTTTCTTAATTCTTTTACTTTTTTTCAAAGTTTCAAGATTCAAATATGTTGTAATAATTTTATTTTTTTTATTCTCATATATCTTTTTATTATAAATAAATAAAAGGATGTATATTTTTTATTCTCATATATCTTTTTATTTTTTTTATTCTCATATATTTTTTTTATTCTCATATTTTATTATTCATTTTTTTAATAAAGATGGGATATAGAAAAAATATGTGGTCGGAAAATATAAAAATTTTGTGACTGCCTTGGCATGTTCTTGTTTAGATAAATTCGACTTACTTGATCCATTTTATCAAACTTACTGTTAAGTACAATAATGTACATGATAATTATATAGAAAACCATCCACAATATTATCTAATATTAGTTAATAATGCAAATTTTACAATGATAATACTAAACCAAAAGTTATATTAATTTTTCATTACTACATAATCCCTTTTGCCATACTGGAAAGAAAGTATCGTCGTGAACAAGAACAACGGGAAGTTTCACAAGTTACTGGAATCATTATTTTACAAATCGAACATAATCTTTGAAATATTGGTTTAAAAAGTTAATCTTTCAATTATAATTTATCAGTAGTCCAACTAATAATAATAATCTAATAATACATAAAATATTAATAAATAAATAAAATATCATAACTTTAAAAACTAAAATAAAAATATCATTTATCTAATAAGATAAAATAGTATCATAATTTTATATTTTCACTTTTATTTCTGTTTTTGCAATATGGAAAATATTTATAAATTCCTATCATAATTCTCTTTTCTAATTTTTAGGTTATAATCTTATTTTGTTTTTTAATTATTTTTAGCCGATAACTTATTAGAGAAAAAAGTGCGACCAAAACACTCGCACAGAAGATAAAATATAGATATTGTAATAAATATATAATTAATAAATAGTTCATATATTATAATTTATATTATTTATAATGGTTTGAATTAACTTTTATGTTATAATTTTTTATAAAATATTTAATAGATATTTTAATCATTATTTTCAGTTATGAAAATAACATATATTTTATCAATTATTTTGAGTCTTTTGCATAATATAAGTATTATTTAATGTAAAAAGTATAACACCTATCACATCGATGGTAATGAGAATTGATATAGAAAGTTTTCATTGTCAGGTACTTGAGGGTGAACTCGTTTAAACTCTTCTGCACCAACTTTGTTACTCAGAAATAGTGTATTGAGATTCCAATAATAAGGGGCTGGCAGTTCAAAAAAAATATTTATATATAAAAATTAAAATATTACGAAAAATACTTTAAAATAACAGCAATAATTAAAATGGACAAAAGCATGTAACAATTCGCACGCATAGAGGAGTTGATAATTGTACCAAACATTGATGGAAAAAAATAATAATTATGACACAGTGGAGTTTCATTCTCCTTTCAAATTTCTCTTCACAATACCATGAAGATAGTGAAAAAAAAAAGACAAAATTTAAAAAGGGAGATATTACGTCAATTTTAATAAAACTCAATTTAAATAATAAAATATAATTTAAATAGATTTCGAAAATAACAGCACCAACGTACATTATTTCAGAATAAGAACATGCGTGTGACCTATGGCAAAGGGAATTTATTTACTTGTCAATTTTTAAATTACTAAAAAACAAATGAACATGAATGTAATAATATTAGCCAGGTCTCATTTAAAGTATAAAAACGTTTATACTATTATTTAACTATAAATTATTATACTATTATTTATACTAAGTCAGTATACCAACTTTCATTAAATAAGCAAATTTAAACACGTGTTAACTATTTAACTATTTAAGTTTTTCCTATTTTAAATATATTCGAAAAAATAGATGACGGTAAAGTAATATTATAAACAATACAAAATGGAAGAATACTTTAAGTTTGGGATCATAATAATAATAATAATATTAATAATAATAATAATAATAATAATAATATAATAGGTAAATTATATATACAATAACATTATTGACATATAATACCATGATTTAATGCTAAAAACATAACATAAAGTATTTCAAAAGTTTTAATTTTAAAATAAAAATTAAATATATTATGATATTTAGGTTTAAAATTTAGTTTTACAGAATAAATTTCTTCAATAATAATAATTTAAAATTTAGAATTGATAAAAAAATATACTTTGGATTCTTTAAGAAAAAAATCGAATAACATTGCGCTAAATATATTTTTTCTCTAAAAAAATTATTGATCCAGTGTAAATATATTTCTAATTGATTTTTTTTTCAGATTCAATAATTGTCTGACTAATTGGTTAATATCATCTTTTTTTCTTCTTAAGGTACATATTATTGTCACTTCTTCTTCTTCTTTTTATCACATATAGGAAGATGCAAAATATTTTATTCATCTTGTGTTTTTTTATTCTTTTTATTTTACTTCCTATTTTGTCTCATTAAAAAAAAATCCTTTCTAAAGTAATATGGTCCTATTAGTAGATAATTTTTAGTTTCTAATTATCTTTTTTTTCTATTGAAAAACGTCAATAGTTCATCTTGTTTAATGAGATGCTGAAATTTATTACTTATTTTTATTTTCCTTATTATCATATTTTTCTTATAACGAGTGAATAAAGTATTACATTTATTTTAGCTTTTGTAATTTTAATATTTTTTATTTAATAGTTTTGTTGACCGGAATAAGTTTTTTAGTAAATACTTGTAAAACAAATATGTAATTATGATTATAAATAAATTTTGTAAGATAGGAAAAGTAATAAGTAAATTAATATAATTATGAGTAAATCGAATAAATAAAAAAATAACTAATTAAGGCATACGTATAAAAGAGCTCTTGACAGCCTAAGGTAATTCTTTCATTTGAAAGGACCCACACCCATCTTAAAGTTGTATCCATTGGATGAATCTGTTTTCAAATCACATGTTTTTAGATGAAAACACCCATATAAAACTCAAAATTTAAATAAGCTAATTATGTTTTTAATCTATTTACAATTTTAATCTCAAGATCATTTTAGTTAATTATTTTGCCTAATTTTATTCTATACATGTGAATTTTTAATAGGTTTGAGTTATATGCCTTTGGTTTTTTTTTTTTAACTACTTCTGTTTACTGGAATTTAGCTAAAAAAATGAGTACAATTTCGATTCTAATTTCAACATTTATTTTAATATAGTTAAAAAAATTGTGTTAGAAATTTTTAAAAAATTTAGATATATCACATACAATATTATAGACACTAATGAAAAACTAATAAGTTGTTAAGCAATGTTATATAATATTAAAGATTAAAATAATAATTTTCAATTTTAAAATCAATGAAAAAACAAAAAATTTACGAAAACCAAAACTAAAATTAAAATTAAAATTAAAATAGTTGTTAGTTAATCTTAAATATCTTTACATTTCATCCATGACTTTTATAACGCATAATTTATATTACGGACTCCATCTAATAATAAAGAATGGTTAATTAATCTGACTACTTGTATTCATTTATTTTATTCTTAAATAATGAAAGCAACTGTGTCACTCTGATCTATCCATCCTATATTTATATTCTTTCTGCTGCATTTTTTTAACGATGATATTTTCAAAATTTATATATTTTTATTTAATTCATCTTCAAAATATATTAACAATATTTTTCTTAATTATATTATTATTTTTAATTTAACTTTTATTTAATTTACATATATGTATTTATTGTGATAAGATGTAAAATAAAATATCATATAACTATTTTATCTAGATAACAAAATTTATTACACTCATCTGTCTCTACAAAATTACCTTAAACGACATATACAAATAAACAGATGAAACTATTTATGCCTCAATTGCTAAAAACAGGTATTGGTTTAAATAGTTTTCTTTTACTGTGTTAAATATTAACAATAACCTTTTTGTTTAAATAGTTTTTTAAAATCAACTTAGAAGTATTTATTTGTTGTTACCGAATTATTATTTGATGTTAAAAATTAAAACAAAAAATTATGTTTTTATTCCTGTATTATTTATAATTAACTAATTTTTTTCATTTTAACATAATTGATAAAATGATTAAACGTGATTTAAATTATTATACTTAAATTCGATATTTTATAATGTAAAACTAATTAAATAAATAAATTTAACTATTTAAAAAAACTGAAATTAACTTTTGTAAAGAATATAATGACCGAAATTACGTTTAACCCCAAAAATTACCATAAGAGAAATACTCCTACGTCGGCAATATGCTAAGGTTTTCAAAATCAAATGGAAATATCTTTCTTTTCCGTACAATTTCACAATGCCCCTTTTTTGCAATATAAAAACAGTGTTTAAGTTTCACAATATAACTTCGTTTCCACGCGCTCAATCTAAATCTTTTCAATGATGGCCAGAAAAAAAATCAAAGAAACTAGAAACAAAATCAAAACTTCATTGTTGGGAAAAGCGTATATTATAATAGTAGGAAAGATGTCTACATCTTTTAAAATTAAAATGAAGTAACATTTTCGCCAAGAACTTCACGAATCAAGTTTTCCAAATTACGAAATGAAGACCCGTGAGGGCCAGAAGCAGCACTTTTTGCCAATTCCTTCCATTGCAAAGCTCTCTCTTTCATCTTCTTACCCTTTTCACCATCCATCAACTCCTTCACAAGGCTCTCTATTTTGTCTCTCTTAACCTCTTCAATCTCCAACCCAATGCCCCACTCTGTGCAACAGAACCTAGAATTGGTTTGTTGCTCAGCAAAGAAAGGCCAACATAGCATTGGAACACCTCCACACACACTTTCCAATGTTGAATTCCAGCCATTGTGTGTCAAGAAACCTCCGATCGCAGGGTGATTCAGCACCTGCTCTTGAGAACACCAACTCGACAAAAGTCCTCTATTTTTTGTTTGCTCCAGAAATTGTTGAGGTAAAACAGCATTTTCACCACCCACAAGATCTGGTCTTATAATCCATAAAAAGCTTTTGTTGCTATCAGCAAGACCCCATGCAAACTCAACCAATTGCTCATTTGTCATAACTGTGATGCTCCCAAAATTCACATAAACAACACTATCAGGCTCTTTGGTGTTGAGCCACTCCATGCACTCAGGCTCTTCCTTCCAAAGATTGGACTCAATTGCATTCAATTCTTTGTCATCCACATCCTTCAGAAGTAAATTCAAAGGACCTATGGAATAAACAGGAGGCAAAATAGACGAGAACGCTTCCAACACATCATGCTCCAAGGCATCAAAAGTATTCAAAATTATTGCTGAAGCTCTTGGGGCCCTCTTGCACTCCCTGTATATGAAATCAAGCATAAAATCATTTGAATCTGTGGTCCTGATGAAGCTGGGAATATCCCTCAACCGAATATCTTTGATGCCTGGTATCCAATCGATTGTAGTCTCCAAATATCCATTCGTGATATCACTTGAGTCTACATTTCAAACACAAAACTCAGTTAACTACAATAGCAAACATAAGAAATACGCACAGAACATTTTTATTCCTATAATTTAACAAGACCCGATTTGACCTATTTTTGTCACCAGTCGGACAAAGTAAGCCATAACAAGCAAACTAGAAGTCTTTACTCATCCCACTTAAGAATAGGTTCAACAGTTGATCCGCCAAAATAATAATTAGATTTCGTATTTATAAAATTAATCCAGATTAATAAATTTAGTTTAAATAGAAATTATTTCTATTAATATTAAAAAATTATATTTTTTTCTCTCTTTAAAATTTACTTAGGTGTCTTTCACTTTCTTATGAATATATTACTTTTCTATAAATAAACCATAAAATTAGTACGGTCCCACAAAGTTTTGTATATAACCACCAAAGCACCAAACCGTTTTCCATTAGCATGAATCATAAAACAAAATTAAGGTAGAGTTACCTTTGAGGGGTGTTAAGCCCTTTTGAATGAAGTGTTCGTATTGGAGGTAACACATGAAGCCACATGCACTAGTGGTCCAAAACAGCACCTCCGGTACACCCAACTCTTGAGCAGCATCAAGAGTGAAGGTCATGGCACCGTCAGAAACTATGCAAGTCACTGGAGGGGCATTTGAGTTATTGACTTTCGCGAGAAGGTTTCTGAAGTGAGGTAAGCAAGTTGTTCTGGTGGACTCACACAGGGCAATTATATCCTGCGTGGCATCCACATCGGGTTCGGGTAGACCATCGGGGATGGTTTCAAAACGAAATGAAGAGAGACCATCAAGGGAGTGAGGACCTCTGGATTTGAGAAGGCGTTTGTGGTTGTAGTCAGTGTTAACAAAGGTGATGTGAAAGCCTTTGAAGTGAAGGAGTTTTGCTAGTTTCAGCATCGGGTTTATGTGACCCTGTGCTGGGTATGGTATGCACACGGCATGAGGCTTCTTCTTTGTTCCCAAAAAACCCATGTTCGTCATCTCTTCCTCAGATTGCACTTGTGAGGGGGAAGGTGTGCGAGTGGTGGCTACGACTTACTGGATTATCCAACGTTTGATTTTATAGAGGAATGAGTGAATGGAAGTGGTTGTTTTCAAATTGATGTTGATAGTAGTTTTGACTTCAAGATGACAATATATGAGATGTGACATGGGACGTGAGGTCATAATTAAAATAATTAGACGTTATATTTTTTTATTTTTTTTATTTATTGATAATATTTTTTTTTACTTAAACATAACATATTATTTAACTCAAAATTAACAAAGAGCAGTTGTGTTTGTATATTTTAATGTGATAGTGAGATTTTTCAAACATTTCTTTATGTTTCCACCGGCCGACTTCAACTCATTCCCAAAAAAATATATAATATACATTTAAGAAACATATTTTTGTTTAAGATACATCAAATAACATAATGCAATCTTTCCTTTTGATTTAATACAAGACTATGTTTGCTTTGGATCAAATGCGTCAGGAGACTTCTTTAGTGAAGAAGGTAATTTTATTTAAAAATCAATAATTTTTAAATTTTGGATAAATAATACTTTTTATATATGTTTTAAATTTACAGAGATTACACACAACAACTTATAATTTAATTTTAATTTAAGAAAATTAATATAATTTTAAAATGAAATATCACCATGCAATTATATATATTATATAAATTAAATTCGTAATAGAAAGCATGTCTTTTGATTTTCTTTAATTCGATTCAAATCTAATTTAATACCATCAAGAATAAATTAATGACTTACTTATTAAGACATGAATAATTATATTTTTGTTTATGAATATTGATAATTTTATATTTTATTGAAATTGTGTTATTAAATATAATTATTTTGTTTTGCTTTTTAACTTGAGACTAAGTTTTTGTAAATGCCTCGGTAATCTGAACTCCGCAGTATTTGACAGACTGACACAACACGTGCCATAAAGTTAAAAACATTGAATTTGGCAATCGTCTTTATAACTTCATCAGACATCCTGTACACCATAACTATTCTGCAGTAGGAAATGAATGTACTGAATCAATCCAGCTCACAATGGAAAGAAATAATTACTAAAAAGTGTAAAATTAATACATGAAATTAAGTATATATATATATATATATATATATATATATATATATATATATATTTAAGAAAAAAAATATATCACTTATTACTAATTTAAATATTTTACTTTTTACATATATATAAAAAATGTAAAATATATAAAAATATTATTTTACAACATTATTTGTATAATAAACATATCCATTCTAATACATCTATAATTTTTAATTTATGTATATATTGATTTCTAATTATATCATTTTAGTAAAATGTAATAAATATAAAAATTATTAAAAAATTATATTAATTATTAAATATATTTTATATTCATTTATTGTAATATTATTTGATTAATTTTAACTCAAGTTTAAAAATATAATTTTATGACAAAAAATCATTTATAAATATATATTAAGATATGTAATATATTGTAATTAAAAGAAAAGTAAAAAGAAGAAGAGAGAGAAAATCTGGTTTTCTTCTTCTTCGTTCAAACAAATCCCTCATCTCCATAACTCAGTTCTACCTTCTCTCCTACAGATCAAGACTTTTTTTCTTCCCCGATCAAGAATCTGAGACCACCGTTGTGCTCACGGCGGAGAACAGCAGAAGACCCACCGATTAGAATTTCATTTCGGTAAGTTTGAATTTTAGAGTTTTTACTAGTTAAAATTTGGGATTTTGAGAATTTAAGGAATTAATTGTGGAATTAAAGATTTCCTCTTACTCTGTCACTCCCCAATTTCATGTTTTCGGGTTTCATTCTGTTTATTACTTCAATTTCATTTTTAGGGTTTTCCAAATTGGGGGAGAACGGTACAAATTAGGTGTTTTGGCATTCCTAAGGTTTTATTGGAATTAGGTTGACGTGTAACATCACCCTCAGGTAAGGGAAGCTTCTTTAATTTTTACTGGTTGTATTGTATCGATGAAAAGTGTAATAAAGTGAATGATGAGTATGTTTGTGATATATATACGTGCTATATGTGATATGAGAGTATGATTGTGATATATATACGTGCTATATGTGATATGATATTGTGAGCATTGTGGAAACCTTGCAGTGTAAATTGTTTTGAAATAGATATCTTTGTATCATTGAATTTCTAAATTGTATGGTTGGTTTGTGTGGTTTGAAGGTGAAAGGATGTACCGTTTTAAGTGAATTATGATTGCATAGTAGTTGAGAATTTTAAATGTTGGACTGGATATTTTGAACTGCATGATGTTGATTTGATTCTAGAAACCCTGAGTAGAATAGTGTGTATGAAATAGTTGTTAAATAATAGATTTGATGTACTGTATAGAATAATGTGTATGGAATTATGGATAGGCGTAATAGGGTATCCAGACTTCCAAGATGTTCCTAGTCATATAGACGAAGACATCTTTGGTGGGAAGTCGATGGAGACACATCATAATGTCAATCCTATGCATGTGTTGCTTTGATGAGAGGTTGGAAAAAAAATGATATTATAGGCCTGGGGTCATGAAATTTTAAGGGTTTGGGACCCCAAATATTTCTCATCAGGTGTCTACCTTACTGGTCTGAATTCCATATAGTTTTCCGGAAAGCGTCAGTCTTGTTGTGTGTTGTGATTGTAAAATGCTAGACTCTCCGATGAGTCTAGTTTTAGGATGTTTGTGAATTAATAAGTGTTGTTTGCAATGTTACACTGTTCTACGTATTTAATCAAATGGTAGCTTATCCTTGCTTTTGTTGCGTGCTTGATCTTTTGGGATCCTGCTATGATCGTGTTATACACGTGAGCATATTCCAAATCTTCTACAGGTGGTAGTAAGACCCAGTGATTTGAGAAATGGAGTAGAGACCTCCTAAATTTGAAAGAGTTATTTTGTGTTGTGTAATTAGGTGTAAAACATTTGTGTAATTAGGACTTTTGATGTGTGATGTTTTCTTTTCTTTTTTCTTTTCAACTATTCTGGATATGTAAACTAAACTATTATACCTCTCTTAGGTGAAAAAGTTATTTTTTTCCTTCATTTATTAAAAATTTTAAGTAGAATTTACGGGTTGTTACAAATGTGTCTTACTACCAACTGAATTGGCTGAGCTAAAGATGCAGATTGAGGGGCTGTTGGACAAGAAATTGATCAGACCTAGTGTGTCCCCTTGGGGAGCACCAGTGCTGCTTGTTAAGAAGAAAGATGGGGGCTACAGACTGTGCATTGACTATAGGCAGTTGAACAAGCTTACAGTCAAGAATAAATATCCCCCTCCATCGGATAGATGACCTATTGGATCAGTTGCACGGTGCAGTTGTATTCTCTAAGATCGACCTGAGGTCGGGGTATCATCAGATTCTGGTGAAAGAGGGAGATATTTCAAAAACTGTCTTCAGGTCCAGATATGGCCACTTTGAGTTCGTGGTCATGCCATTTGGAGTGACGAATGCGCCAACCATCTTCATGGACTACATGAATAGGATCTTCCATCCCTTTTTGGACAAGTTTGTCGTCGTCTTTATTGATGACATACTTATCTACTCACGCTCGCATGAAGAGCATGAACATCATTTGAGAGTAGTGTTGGAGATCTTGAGGGAGAGACAGTTGTATGCTAAGCTATCTAAGTGTGAGTTTTGGATGGAAGACATCAAATTCTTGGGGCATGTGGTGTCTGCTCAAGGGATAGCAGTGGATCCTACCAAGGTAGAAGCAGTTCTGGACTGGGAACACCCCAAGTCAGTGTCCGAGGTTAGAAGTTTTGTGGGATTGGCCGGCTATTACAGGAGGTTCATTAAAGGTTTTTCTAGAGTGGTAGCTCCTCTAACCCGGTTAACAAGGAAGGACCACCCCTTTGTTTGGACAGATCAGTGTGAGAAGAGTTTTCTAGAACTCAAACAAAGGTTGACCAACTCGCCCATACTAACTATTCCTGATTCAAGCAAACCATTTGAGGTTTTCTGTGATGCATCCAATCAGGGGTTAGGGTGTGTTCTGATGCAGGATAAAAAGGTAGTGGCTTATGCTTCTAGACAACTGAAGAGTCATGAGAAGAATTACCCCACACACGACTTAGAGCTAGCAGCAGTGGTGTTTGCTCTAAAAATCTGGAGGCATTACTTGTATGGAGCTAGATTTGAGGTATTCAGTGACCATAAGAGCTTGAAATATTTGTTTGATCAGAAGGAACTGAACATGAGGCAGAGGAGATGGATGGAATTCATCAAAGACTATGACTTCCAGTTGATGTATCATCCAGGAAAGGCCAATATAGTGGCAGATGCTCTCAGTAGAAAGGCGATTGGAATGTCTGCACTGATGATTAAGGAATTGGAATTAATAGAGAGCTTCAGAGATCTAAATCTAAGCTTTGAAATTTCACCAGTTAGTATCAGCTGTGGGGTGATGACTATCACCAGTGACTTCTTATAAATCATTAAAGAAGGCCAGATGAAGGATCCTAGCCTTATACAAATTAGAAACTCTTTAGGTACAAAAAACGTGAAGGAGTTTGTTTTGGGAACAGATAGTGTGCTTAGGTTCAAGGGCAGAGTTTGTGTTCCTACAGGTGATGAGTTGAGAGGAACAATTCTAGAGGAAGGGCACAAAAGCAAGTTGAGTATTCACCCTGGAGTGACTAAGATGTACCAAAATTTGAAGGAGAGCTTCTGGTGGCCTGGGATGAAGCAAGATATAGCTCGATATGTTACTAGCTGCTTAACATGTCAGAAGGCCAAGGTAGAGCATCAGAGACCGGGTGGAATGCTACAACCACTAGTGTTACCTGAGTGGAAGTGGGACAACATATCTATGAATTTTATTACCCACCTGCCCAGGACGGTTAGGGGACATGACTCCATCTGGGTCATTGTAGACAGATTGACTAAGTGTGCCCACTTCTTGCCAGTCAATCTAAGAATGTCTATGGACAAATTGGCTCAGTTGTACA